ATGGTCATCACGGTCATCACTAGAATTGCCACCTCCTTAATAAAACATTACCTGAGCCGGAATCGCCCGATAGTTTACTCCTGTCGGATCGACAGCGTCGGACGCAGCAGGAAAACCGAAGCAAACTCGTCCCCGGATCCAAGCTCATCTCCACAGAGTTGAGTCAGAGAGATATGTTCGCTCCCTGCTTGTGTATCATGGGAATCCTCCCTTCGGGTATGGAATCATATCTAACTTCGAACGAAGGTCTGAGCGATCGGGAGTCGCGCGGGATAATAAGACGGTCGAACGCCCACTAGCACGGCCTTCATCGATATCTGTCTACTCGCTTTGGGGGACATATGGACAAATGCCTCCTTTTCTTCGTTTGGCTCTCTTCCGACTATCATCCATGTATATGCGCACTCGAATCAATTCACTAATGAAACATGATGACCTCGGTTCCCCGGAAAATATCCACCTCCGGGACCACAGTTTACGTATGTGCACCAGGCCGCCGTAAGAAAATACGCCGCTCGCCTTTACCGGTAGGTTGAGGCAAGCTCTAGGGCAGAAATCTTGATCTCGAGCCTTTCTTCGATAAAGTCCTGAGATATGACTCCTCCGATGGACTCATTCGCCCGTCGGAACTCTCTGAGGAAGCCCAGTGTCCGAAGAGCACGTCATCGCCTTTGAGTGGACATCGATTTGAGTTGTGTGAGTGTCTGCTCGAGGCGGTGCCCTTTGTCAAGAGACTGATCTTGCAGAGCTTCGCGACAATCTTGGATTCATTCCATTACCCCGGGGGATTCTTAAGTAATCCGATTCATGTCATTTCCACGTCAGTGCAGACGAAAGCTGCTCTCATTCGTCACTCGATCCCGAATAAGATAAACAGGCGCAGACTGTTTGTGCGAGCTTGGCACACCTTTCCATTGTCGAGGGCACGAGCCGAACTGTTTGCGGAATTCGTACGATAGGAGCAAAAGGAAGGGTTATGAATTGACGGAAGCATTGCTCACTTGGTTTCTCTGTTTCGAGTGGCATGTAATTATTATTTCTAGCTGAGAATAATCGGAATTCGCCGACGGATGACCGAAACCTCAACTGATCTGGAGAAGCAGGGTCAGTTGCGTAGCGGGAGGGGGTTGCGGGGCGCTCCGCCTCGGGCATCATGGCTCCAGGAGCATCAGGCCGCCCGATTAGAGTGCCAGAAATGATCTTGACTCTCAACGGTATGCGGAACGTCGCATTGAAGCCGCGGGAAATGTTCGAAAAAGAAGCTGAATTGAGGTTCCGCCCTGGGCATAACTTGCTTCGTAGATTGATCTCTCAGCCGGAGACTCGCATCACACGATTAGAATTTACCGTGGATACGTGACGGAACTTAGATGTACCGCCCCGAGCAAATCCACCTCAAGAATTCGAACGGACTGATTCGACCGGGGAGGGAGGCAGGCCTTCTGAAGATCAGTTGTGAGGCCCGTAGAGGGGAGAGATATCTTCCCTTCGTCCAGCCACAGGGTTTTTGATAGGTGGAACACAATCTATAATCTAAGTTCGAGATACGAGTATTCCGCGGTAGCATCGAGGATATCCGGGGGATCCGGGGAAAAATCGACTCCGAAGATATCGAGGTATTCTCATAGGTTCGGCGAAAGGATTAGATATGAGAATCTGACGTCCCACGAAGAGGACTGTTCCCGACGCTCCCCTAGCGCCCCGAGGGAAGGAAACGTTCAGCCAGACTCATGATGGATGCCGCGCGTGAATCGGGCGCTAGATTGGCTCTCGCTGCAAACATCGTGACCATCCATGTGAAACTTGTCAACGTCGACGGGTATGGTGGAAGCCTGGCCGGGAGCTGTTTTCCTTAGGAGATATCTGGGGTCCGGTCATATCCGAAGAGATGTTAACTTCCGGCACTGCTTTCGATCTCTGCAGCGAAGTTTTCCGGCGATCTACGGCCTGGATGCCGCAGCAGTCGCCGTCTCAACCGCCCTAGGACCTCCCTTCTCGGGACTATCTTCGCACGCGATCCGCATCGCTTAGATTAGGCGAAGCGCGGCAGCCTCGTCCTCTGCAGAGTCCAAGCGCCAGAGTGAATTTCACACATTCCGATCCCGCAAGATTCCCGCCGGTGATAATCACGACTCACGACAACGATCGAGGGCTTCCCTGTCGGAAGTTGCTGTGATCGTTGGACTAACAAGCTTGAGCTCAGCGAGAGCATGAATTCATTCTCCGTTGGCGGCTTCCATGAACGGCATCCCTTAATAATCGAGACATTCCATCCAGAATCCAGATGCAAAACCTTGAGGGTGGCTCCACGGAGGAAGTTGCTATGGGAGACGGAATCATCCGGAAATCCGGAGGTGGTTGGGGTTCCACGATGGGCTGAGACGAGGAGATGGGTTTATGGAAGCAAGAACGAGGGGGATCGTTGGAAGGGAGACCGGAAAACGTCCAGTCGAATCCCTCGGGGTAATGCTCCATGAAAAAAGAGTAATCGTGCGGTTCCACCGCGATCCAAACCACATGGAAAATTACACGAACTCCTAATGACACCGACCCTGAAGCCCTGAAGCTCGCGATGCCTTCCCTGTGCAGAGATTTCTTCGCAGCAGCGCTATCATAATTCCCGCGAAATTCGTAGCTCAAATCCCCTGCTGGGCTGAAGAGTCGTGGACATCCTTTCCCGCGACGGCTTATCCATATGGAGATCGATGTCTCGAAAGATCTCTGCTATGTAGTCGTAGCGTCGCAAGACGATCCGATGGACTAGGTTGCGAACTACGCCCTCGCGCAAAACAAACCTCTCGAAAATGAACTTCATGAACTCCACTCAAGAGCGTGAGCATAGACCAATATTTCATTCCCTCGCTGCGACGCTGCGCCACCGATGGCGGGCAACTGCGGAACCGCATTACTGTCGTTATATCCGGTTAAGGACCTGACAGCACTGCATTTATTCGCTCCGAGCTCATCGATCCGGGGACCGATGGGTATATCGAGCTCCTTGGATCGCCCATTGTTGATTTCGATCTCTTTCGAATTCTTCCATGGGGATTATCAACTCCCTAAAATGCACTGACGATATTGGATCGGATGGTCTCGATGACAAAAACACATCTCATTGACTCTCCCGGGATCTAGGGCTCAGTGGCGGAATTTCCCTGTCGACTCTCTGGACGGGGGTTCCTTTTTGGGAAAGACTGAAATCTCCAAACAAGTCGAAGGCAAACACGCGTGATGTAATAGCTCACCCTATGACTCCATACCCTCTGTCAGGTAACATCGCGATTATTTGCTCAGCTTCGCGACCTTCTTCCGCGTATTGAAAAGCTATAATCGCAACTAGTATAGTTTCCTATTTTTTCTCGCCCGGCTCCCGCGGCGGAGATCGGAGAACAAGGTTGATCGCTGTCAATCGAGTACCTGCTGTCTCATTAGGTGGCGCGGTCCGCACATAGCCTGAAGCAGCACGTTCCGTGATCACGAGTGATGCATCTCTCAGGGAGAGACGGCCGGGCAGCCGTCGGCGATCGAAATAAGCGATGACTCCCACGGATACACTAGTGAAGAGATGCGCGCACCTGTAGTCAGCGTCTCTTAATCATTCGTTGAGCTGCTCGATATATTCAGATGACGTCTCCGCCAAACCGATCGCTCTGACAAGGGCTGAATATCTCACCAATGAGTCCATTAAACAAAACATTATTCGTCTGCCTCGAAGACGAAGTATCGAAACACCAGAATCTGTCTGATCGACGAATTCATCGGGAAACGAAAAAGCCGGAATTTCATGGGATTCTGTCAACGCAAATGATGACTATGCAAGGAGTGATGAGTGCGCGGAATATTTCGGAGCCGAACGTATGTTCCGGTGACTCAATATTTCCGTCGACTTCCGAAAACACTCGTGTCCGACAGACTTGGTCTCGACCTTAAACTTTCGTTCGAACTCATCTTCCCTCCCATAGATTGGAGCATACCCGTCAGATTCAAGTTAAATCAGACCGAGTGACCCGAATCGTTGAGATCAGCGATTCGCGCTCCGGCAGGCAAAGACGCCAATGCTCTTTTCTCGCTTTTCGCTGGAACCTCAATGATCTCTAAGTTTTTATTTACGCTGGACAATCCGAATGATTCGGGAAGCCGATCTCTCGCAGGGAACATTCCCTGGCGAGAGTCGTCAGGCGTCAAGAAAGGAGTGTAGCGTGGGAGACCGTCGCGAACTGTGTATTCTTGGCGTGGAGGCTCGTACTACAAAGGAATGCATTCCATCGTAATCGAGAAAGGTTCATACGTTCAACGATAAAGAGATCTCGTCCTCACGGACTCGGGATAAACGATATCACACCGCGCCCACGTGCAAACAAGCTCGGCTAGGAGAAGTACAACCAAGACGGTAAACGTAGCGTCAAGCCGGTCTTCCGAGACGGTCAACTTCCGGTCTCTACAGGATGCCGTACATTATCGGCGGAAGAGTCTCGCACCACAAGGACCAAGCCGGTTGGCAAAGAGCGACCGACTATCCCTCCGGAAGTTCGAGAGCACGAGCGCAGGATGATGAACTCCATGATTGTTTGACCAACTGCATAATTATTAGAAATCCTCCGGACACTGTTGTCATACGAGGAGTCCCTAAACATGCCCCTCATTGTGTTGCATGTCAACCCGAGTGATTGTCTCACTCAGCAGGAGAGATGATCTTTTGTTCGTGTCCTCGGGATACCACTGCATCCCTGATTGTTTGAAATTTGAGACGGCATTGTTCTCCAATGTCTGGCTCGCCGTTGGATGATAGCCTTCGATCGAAGCCTCATGGCGTGATGAGAGCACGGGATCCCGGCAGGCCCGCGAACGCTCAGGATACTCTCTCGGAAGAGAATGCTCAACCTCCCAGGTTCATTCCAATCTGTTTGGATTCCGATCTCTTGACGATTCTCCGAGCGCAAATAACAGAGAGAGAGACGTATCGAGGCTGGATTCGAGCGCGTCAGGAGAGAAGAGCCATTGTGTCTGGGGACAAGAGCCGCAGAACCGCACGCGCGGAGAGACCAAACAGAAAAAGTGTCCTTCCCGTCGTTCCCCAGGGAAAAGAGAGCGTTGAAACTATAATACCTCAGTGTCGCGCCGCATCGCCAACGTCTAGAACAACAGCGGAGAGGGAAATCACAACAAAGCGAAAATACTCTCCTGCTCGGCAGAATAAAAACTCCGTAGTCCGCATCGATTCAGGCAGTTCTTGGATCCCGCTCCAACCTGACGGACGCTACGACAACGACGAACACGGTCACAATGAAGGCTCATCTCGCTCTGTGTTTATTCGCTCTGATTGGTGAGTTTTTGAATGGAGTGTTTCTCGGGAGCGTGATCATTCCCCGTCTGGCGACCTTTTAAGGGTCCCTCTTGGTCATCAACCGAGAGGGATCGGGGAGATCTGCGTTTCCCGGCCAGCCTCTCCCCGATGGACCCGATCCCCGCACCGGATCGATTCGAATTCCGCCCGGGAGATTCATCCCCAGTCGTGTTCTAGACAATGGCGTACGCAGGGGGAGGGCTAGATCAGGGATTCGTTCGCATGGGGCTGAAATCCAATATGGCGATTTGCTCTGATACCGAAATACCTACTCATGAAGGCATCATCTGGGAGGGGGCTATGGCCCCATAGCCCCTTGCGTACGCCCCTGGTTCTAGATCGAACATAGGAATGATTTTTATCAGAAAGAGCCATGGTCATCAGCTGGAAAACAGTTTTCGATCGCTCTCATCCTTGCACTACGTAGAGGAATTCTTGAGTTGTTGAGCGGAACGGGCCTCTTCATTTGTCGTCCTCGAGTGCTATCCGATACTTCTCCCGACGAGGTCCGGTTGACCGACATTGAGTCAGCCGTGAGCCTAGCTCCCGTCGGTACCGTTCGTTGTCGTTTCTGTTGGTTTGGCATGGCGGTTGGCGACAGAACTCCAGTAAGCGTGACCTGAGGCTCGGAGCGGGTCACCAAACTTCATTCATGCGATAAGGGGTGGAGCCCGGGGCGGATTTACTCAGAAGGCTGACTAGGCTGGGGTGGCAGATTTCGGAGGGCAACGGGTTTTGGTGAGCGGCGACCTTCTGATGGGGGACCTCCGCCGGTTTCGAAAATTCCATGAAACAATGCCTGACCGAAACGAGGACATTAGCTCGGAATAGGAGCGCCGAATCGTCGAATTGGTCTGTCAAGGGTGAAATTCCGAGTTTCTTCCCAGATAGCCTAATGAAGGGGGAGCGGTCCTGTTCAAGCCCAGGGCGGCAAATCGGTAGATTCGCCTCTAGTTGGAGCGATTCATCGAAGAAGAATCCGGGAATTGTTGTCACGATTAGGATCGAGACCGAGGATCGCAGCGACTCCTCGCACGGAGCTCTCTCGGGAGGGTCGTGCCGAGAATTTCGTCAGTATAGTATCGAGAGCTTCGACTCTATGGGTTTGACGTGCGCTAACACCATCTTCCCGGCGGCCGTTCACGACGAGCATCACATTGATCCAAAGCTCCCGGGGTCCTCTGCAAGCAAAGGTCACCAAGCTCCGCGTCTCGCTTGGGGCTCGACGACTTTTTCGGGAATAAAATTTTTCCGCGCCGCTCCCATTTCCATCGCAAAGTCACTTCAAGACGTCGAGCACATCATTCGGATACAAGAAACGAGATGATTCGCGATGAGGAACGGGGGATATATCAATTCCTGAGAAAGGAATCGATCAAACCAATGAGTTTTTTATTACAAAGAGACGATCGAATACATGGGACTTCCATTTTCCAGGCTGCTCAATGGCAGCAAAACGTTTCCAGGATGAGAGATGTTATCAAAACTACCCGACCGGTGCCTGCAGCACACCTGAGTTGAGGAAGGCTTGCGCCATGACCCGCTGGCACTGTCGGGATGAAGGGGTCGCAATCGAAGCCAAGGACGGTGAGTAGAATCACGGGTATCGTGTTCTCGCTTCCGTCCACTGCTATCTCTAACCGGAATATCCGTCTGCCTTCAGACACCGAGCACAAACAAATCACGGGTGATTGCGATGTCCAGGGCCCGAAAGTGTTCTGCAAGAGCGAGTCCGAGGCGAAGAAATGCAACGCGGACAAAGCTTTCTGCAACAATGTCGGTTACTGGCATTTCTGAGCATGAGCTCTTCCAGTGATTCCGAAGCTGAGCTGACAGCCGCTGTCAGAGAAATGAATAAAGTTTTTGCAATTTCCCAGAAGAACAAGCTTAGCATCTCAATTTTCCTACCGACCTAATCGGGAAGCGACGACCCGGGACGGCGGAGCGCGCCTCTACTTGTCCCGCAACTCACCGTTTTTCCTCTCAGCCATACCTAAGGGAGCACCACGTTCCATGCGTCCTCGGCGAATCAGTGAGGAATATAACACAGAGAACACCTCTTCCTGGATTTTAAGCACATCCTCCTCAGAGGAAGTTCTAATGCGCCCTCCGCGGGCGGAGCGCAAGGCAATGACTTACCCTAAGTTGGAAGCGCGGTGAGTGGCTCCAGGCTCGATTCGTTGAGAACAACATTCCTTCTAGTGTTGGGAAAGGGGGTTCTGGGAGCGCCTTCCGGTGGACTCTAGGAAGTTGAGGCGAATATTGGGATAGAATTTTTCCGTGTCCATTCACGAGAATCATGGGTCGGATAGAAAGGTTCACTAAGCTGGCACCGCGTCGGTACGAATGCCTCCCTCCTCATCCCTGCGGGAAGTTCGGGGTTTGATCCTCATCGGAATTGGTTGCAGCCAGTGAAGAGACATCTGGCTCGTAAACAGACTGAAGATAGCGCACTTTCCGAATAGACCCGCCGTGCAGAAAAAACGGTGCGCGGTTGCACCACCACTAACACCCCACTGGAGAGAAAGGACGCGGGTCAAGGAGAGCGGAATAGAAAACTCTAAATCCATCTCGATAACTAGGGCTGGGTATTTGTGGCGGCTCAGGGCCTCCGCGACAAAATCCGTGAATTTTCGCGGCAGCCGCGACCGCGACCGAAGTCGCGGGTTTCCGTCGCGGTATTCAGGATCTCAAAATAATTCTGATCTGCCTCGTCTTAATTTGTCTCCCTCGGCCCCTATCCTCATATCTTCGAACCATTTCGCTGAACGGTTAAATGGTTCCTAATGAAGACGCGCTCATCCATTTTTCGATTGATGGGTAGTGACCACGGCGCCATTTTATTCATCACAACATTCGTTCTCGGGGTTGAGAACAGCGGTCTCGATCGGAGAAGAGACAAATCCGTTCCGATTCCATCAATTCATTCATAAGCATAAGGTTTATCCGTGGCGAGAGGGTGTCTTGTGAGTCCCTGAAGTATGATATTTCGGCAGCAACCGAGCGGGTGGTTCATCACAGATTCATAGTGATTTACCGGCGTTTTGGTATAGAAGATTGTACATCGACAGGTTGTCATCTTTGATGGATCGACGATCGTCTCGGAGTACATCTGAATACTGACTAAAAGATCTTTCGGCGGCCACACTATCGACTGGGACACTTAAGCAAGTGAGAGCTATCTTCGAAAGCGTCGGGAACCGAGAAGATGTTCTGCTCCAAAACTCGAGCGGCTGATAAGATGTATCGAGCTCGTCCAACGCTGCCAGATAAGCTGGAAATTCTGTTCGAGCCACCGCGTCTGTTTCAAACAGGGGCACATTTTCGAATACAAAGCTGTCCGGCATTCGGAGGGTTTTAGCTCTCGAAGGATCGAACACCCTGCAAGCTCGAAAGAAAAAGGCTGCCGGCTGACAGAATCTTTCAGCGCTGTCTGCGCAAATGTAGCTCTGCAATTTCCGCGATGACTTCCTCAAAGCAGTGGCCGTACAGGCGAGATTCTCCGTGTCCGTGTAGCTTGCGTCGAACCACTCGATTAGCTGAGTGAGGTCATCGATGACGAGATGCGCCTTTATGTCGGTTCCCTCATACTTCTTCAGTATGGCCATGAGATGGGGCGCGTATATCCTCAGTTGATCGAGTTGTTGCCGAACGTCGACGCTGCCACACAGGATGATTATTTCGGACGTATTTGAGCTTGCACTACTCCCGAGCTCCCGCGAAAAAAATTCTGAGTAGTCCTCCAAATGATCTGCATGATACAGTACGGCACCGAACCAAGTGTTCCATCTCGTCAGCACTGGTGCAGGTGGAAGCTTTTGCGGTGCGCCTTTCTCGCGGAGAAATTGCCTTGAACCGTGCCTTGCGCGCGGGGGATGCTGTGAAAGCTTTCTTGATGGCGCTGACGAGTCTGTTCGTCTCCTGGAAAGACGACACCCACACTTCGCAAATCAGATTCAAAATGTGAGCAGTGCATGTGACATGCACGCCATTCAGGAGCACGGGTCGCAATGAACAATTCCAGGCCTTGTGCATATACGCCGCATTGTCAGTCACGAAGGCGCTGATTTTCAGGGTGGGTATTTCATACTTGAACAGAACGCGCAGGATGGCTTCGCTGACTGTCTTGTAGTTGGTTTTTTCGAGAACTACACACTCTAGCAGGAGAGCGTCGAGTTTGTCACCCTGTTTCTCACATGACGGAACGGCCAGCACATTCAGAATGTAGCGATCCTCGGCATCGGTCGTTTCATCGCAGACGATCGCGAGGGCTCCCCGATTCGCCAAGCACCGTTTCAGAGCTATGAAATGAGCCTCAAAAGCTTTCGGCAGAAAGAAACGCCTGAGATGGCTTGCCGTGGGAATAGTCTCAGAATTGAAATTGGCTTGCAGGAAGCTCCTCAGGTTTCGATTGTCGAGTGCGTGTAAAGGGATATTCGCTCCGGCAAACGCGTCGACGAGTCCGGTCAGGAAAACTTGCCTTTCGCTCGTCCCACCCGTAGAAACATCCAGATTTTCCAAACTAGCTCTCTTCGCACTGGCGAACACTTGCTGTTCTTTTCTCCGCTTATGAGTATTGCTATTGAGATGTTTCAAGCAGGTGTGCTTACGAGTGAAATCCACCGTCACATTGCAAACACTGCACAGTAAGCGGCCCGTATCTACGCGGAACGTGCCGTCTTCAAATTGCTTCGATCGATCCTCAGGCCTTATTCGCGTTGCAGTTTTTGAAATTTTTCTTGATTGCGAGGTGTCCTCCACGACTGCAGCGAGCTTTTTGTGACTTCTAGAGACATTGACGGCTGAGACGGGATACTATTTGCTATTTCTCGACAAAAGCACTTCGGCCTCTTCTCCGTTTTGATGAATGACCAATGACCAATGACCACGATGATTCGATGAAATTCGAGCGACGAAGTCGCGGTTTTTTCGAATCATTCCTTCATTTCCCAGAGGGAATCGATTCGGAAGATGAAATGATTGTATGAGCTAAAAAATAGTTCGAGAGAGCGCGATGAACATAGATGCCGTGAAATTCCGCGACGATGTCCGCAAATAATTCACGGCCGCGAAAAAGTCGCGGCGTTCTCTCTGAGAGTACCGCGACCCGATGCCGCGGCTTTTGGCACGGGGTTTTCACGGAATCACCGCTACAAATACCCAGCCCTA